TAAGCTCCAAGGATCAGGCCCTCCTAACCCTCTTGTATTGAACTGTATTGTGGCTGTATTGTCTCCCGATATATTGTAAAGCGCTGAGCAAACTGTTGGCACTATATAAATCCTGTATAATAATAATAATAATCTACCAAACGGCTTATTTTCTACTGCCCTGTTTGAAAATGTTTGCTCAATCAGCTCTGCAGGTTGTAGGTAATAATGTGAGCAGGGGCGGACTGACAACTCATGGGGCCCCCGGGCAATAGGGGATCATGGGGCCCCTGTGTCCTTGCCCAAACTCAAAAAAGCCTATGAAAAAGGTACCAGGGGCATCTCATGGGGCCCCCTACTGACCCCGGGGCCCTCGGGCAGTGCCCGAGTTTCAAAATGGTCAGTCCACCCCTGAATGTGAGTATATAGTGCATAGCAAGGGTGGATGGATGACATGAGTATACATTGAGCACATCAAGGATGGATGGATGAAATAAGTATACATAGAGCACAGTAGACATTTGTTTCATTTTGATTCATTTTTCGGATGAAAATTTTATTGTTGGAGATTCGGATGTATAGGAGTCTCAGAATGGACATAGTAACTAATCTCATTGAATCCAAAAAAAAAGTTATATTAAAATTAGCAAATGCATGTGTTTCATTTGTTTCATTTGGATGAAGTTACATAATGCGATAATAGTTCAGGCCCATGGAGAAATGAATTCAATTTTCAAATTTGTTCAATAATTTGTATTTGGTTAACATATATATCAGAATTTTGTTCCATTCCTTAATTTAGATGCACATGATGCCAGTCGATATTGTCCAATCAGCTCATGCCATTTCTCTTGGTGGGTTGGACTACAGCACAAAAATATGTAATGCTTTCGATTTGAATCTGCGATTTGATAATGTATCGAATATATAGCGATCTTCCGGAAAAGTTGCTAAATTGTTTAAATCAACCCATACAATGAATATATGAAATCAATGTCGAAGATACATAACAAATTCCAAAGACGAATTGGTTCAACATAGTGGTTCAACATGAATATGATGAAACAAGATTCTTGAATGATTGAATGCATCCAAAACAAAACAAAAAATTTGGGTGTGCCTGTGTTTACAGCACAGCAAGGTTTGATGGGTGAAATGATGGATGACATGAGTATACATAGTGCTCAGCAAGGGTGGATGGATAATATGAATATACATAGTGCACAGCAAGGATGGATGAAATGAGTATACAAAGAGCACAGCAAGGGTGGGTGGATGATATGAGTATACATAGTGCTCAGCAAGAGTGGATGGATAATATGAATATAAACAGAGCACAGCAAGGATGGATGGATGACACGAATATACATAGAGCACAGCAAGGGTGGATGGATAATATGAATATAAATAGAGCACAGCAAGGATGGATGGATAAAATGAGTATACAGAAAGCACAGAGAGGGTGGGTGGATGATATGAGTATACATAGTGCTCAGCAAGGGTGGATGGATAACATGAATATACTGTACATAGAGCGCAGCAAGGATGAATGGATGACACGAATATACCTAGAGCACAGCAAGGATGGATGGATGAAATGAGTATACATAGAGCACAGCAAGGATGGATGGATGAAATGAGTATACATAGAGCACAGCAAGGATGGATGGATGAAATGAGTATACATATGCTCAGCAAGGGTGGGTGGATGAAATGAGTATACATAGAGCACAGAGAGGGTGGGTGAATGATATGAGTATACATAGTGCTCAGCAAGGATGGATGGATGACACAAGTATACATAGTGCTCAGCAAGGGTGGGTGGATGACACAAGTATACATAGTGCTCAGCAAGGGTGGGTGGATGAAATGAGTATACATAGAGAACAGCAAGGATGGATGGATGAAATGAGTATACATAGAGAACAGCAAGATGGGATGGTGTGAATGATGAAATGAGTATACATAGAGAACAGCAAGGATGGATGGATGAAATGAGTATACATAGAGAACAGCAAGGATGGATGGATAACATGAATATACATGGAGCAACATATGATAACAGCAAGGGGGATAGAGCACAGCACAGCAAGGTTGGATGAAATGAGTATACAGAGAGCACAGCAAGGATGGATGGATGACACAAGTATACATAGTGCTCAGCAAGGGTGGATGGATGAAATGAGTATACATAGAGAACAGCAAGGATGGATGGATAACATGAATATACATAGAACACAGCAAGGATGGATGAAATGAGTATACATAGAGCAAGGGTGGATGGATGAAATGAGTATACATAGAGAACAGCAAGGATGGATGGATAGAACACAGCAAGGATGGATGAAATGAGTATACAGAGAGCACAGCAAGGATGGATGGATGACACAAGATGTGATGCAAGGGTGGATGGATGAAATGAGTATACATAGAGAACAGCAAGGATGGATGGATAACATGAATATACATAGAACACAGCAAGGATGGGAAATGAGTATACATGAACAGCAAGGATGGATGGATGACACAAGTATACATAGTGCACAGCAAGGATGGATGGATGAAATGAGTATACATAGAGAACACAAGGATGGATGGATAACATGAATATACAGAACACAAGGATGGATGGATGAAATGAATATACAGAGAGCACAGCAAGGGATGGATGGATGGATGGAATGAGTATACACAGAGCACAGCAAGGATGGATGGATGAAATGAATATACAGAGAGCACAGCAAGGATGGATGGATGGAATGAGTATACACAGAGCACAGCAAGGATGGATGGATGAAATGAATATACAGAGAGCACAGCAAAGATGGATGGATGGAATGATTATATACATAGTGCTCAGCAAGGGTGGATGGATAACATGAATATACATAGTGAACAGCAAGGATGGATGGATGACACGACTCGAGTATACATAGAGCACAGCAAGGATGGATGGATGAAATGATTATACATAGTGCTCAGCAAGGGTGGATGGATAACATGAATATACATAGTGCACAGCAAGGATGGATGGATGAATGATCGAGTATGCATAGTGCTCACAAGGGTGGATGTATAAATGCACATAGTGCGAGCAAGGATGATGAAATGAGTATACAGAAAGCACAGCAGCATGGATGGATGACACAAGTATACATAGTGCTCAGCAAGGATGGATGGATATATAGCATGAATATACATAGAGCACTGCGAGGGTGGATGGATGAAATGAGTATACAGAGAGCTCAGCGAGGGTGGGTGGATCACATCAGTAGTATATAGTATCTCTCTAGTTTATATTTAGCTGATTGGCTAGATCTGCCCTTTAATTAAATCCTATATTCACACATACGTATCTATCCGTGTATAAAAAAAATCACATTATTGTCTACAAATATAGAATCTATAACGTGTAATTTTTTTGCAATTCGTTATCTGTTTCTCATTATCCCTTTTTGTTCCTTATGTACGCAGTGTGACAATGGCAGATCCTTTCTGTCTCCATGAATATGTTGCAATTATCCAACCTTGTGAACAATTATGACATACTGACAGAGATACTCTCATTTCCTTCCTGGGCTTTTGTTTGATAAATTGCAGCAGAACTTTTTTTGATTGATATGAATATTGTTTCAAACTTAATGGAAAAGCTGGAGAATGTTTTTTTGCTTTTCTTTTTTTCTGCAACAAAGAGCTGATGAAAGCATGTCATGGGAGTTGGTCCTTTGACCTTGTTGAGACCATTGTCATCTTTGGTTTTTAAAGGAAGGCCCAAGAGCTATGAAATAAATGAATTAAGCACAGGACATGCATGGCAGGGTGGAAGGGGAAACAGTCAGCATAAAATTAGGTATTGAAAAGCAGGAAGAAAGTAATAATACTTACTGGATTGGCTGAAGAGATGGGGTGATTGGGAAGAGTGCAGGAGGACAGCTTGCAGGGAGGAGTTTTACAGAATCGGTTGGAGAGTTGAAGCCATCGGATGAATATCCCACCCTCTCTTATGTTGGTAAGTGTGGGGGTAGATTTAGTATACGGTGGATGTTTTTGGAGGTTTGGGGTCCTTGAATGGGTTGAAAACTGTTTTGGGAAAAAAGCAGAAACCCATCTCCTGACATGGTGTCCCCTTGTTGGGTGTGGTCGAATAATGGTGACCAGATAGTGGTCAACCTGTAAAGTGTCTGATGTCCGCTGGGAGTGTCCCCAAGGCAGTGTCTTGCAGGTGGGGGCATAACGTAACTAAACGATGCCACAGACACAAAGTTATTCTTTTAATCACATCTTCAAGGATCTGCAACCGCATTTGATTACATTTGTTATTTATTGGTATGTTGTTTATAGTAAGAGGCTTTAGGGCCATTTAACTCCACTTCGAGTAAAGCTTGTTATTTGGGGGTTGGTGGGAGGTGGAGTTCAGGGAGGTAGGCCATATCTACCCTGCTCAAGGTATTGGAACTTCATTCACATTTTTTCTCTTTACAGATGTTCCTGGCACTGTAGTTGGCTTATTTTATACGGCCGTTTTGTTAAATTTTTTAATAGATTGATAAATGATTAGAACCCCTTTCAGGTTTTTATTGCTAGGTATCAATGTCACAGGAAAAGGGCAGCACAGTGGCTAAGTGGTTAGCCCTTACGCCTTGAAGCACTAGGGTTGTCAGTTTGAATCTCAATCACAAAACTACCTGCATGGAGTTTGCATGTACTCTGTGTCTCTGTGGGTTTCCTCTGGGTACTCCGATTTCCTCTCACACTCCAAAGACATGCTGGTAGATTATTGGCTCCTGTTTAAATTTGCCCTAGTAAGTGTATGTCTTAATGTAAGTTAGGGACCTTAGCAGGGGCGGACTGATCATTTGGAACCTCGGGCACTGCCCGAGGGCCCGGGGTCAGTAGGGGCCCCATGAAATGCCCCTGGTACCTTTTTCATAGGCTTTTTTGAGTTTTGGCAAGAACACAGGAGCCCCATGATCCCCTATTGCCCAGGGGCCCCCATGAGTTGTCAGTCCGCCCTTGCTCAGTGGTTAGCATTTCCGCCTGGCAGTACTAGGGTTGTTGGTTCAAATCCCAACCACGGCACCACCTGCCTGGAGTTTGCATGTTCTCCCTGTGTTGTCAGTCCGCCCCTGGACCTTAGATTGTACGCTCCTTGAAGGTTAGGGACTGATGTGAATGTACAATATATAAAGTGCTGTGTAACACGGTGCGTTTGAGAACTCTTCTGAACGCTAGAAATTGACAGCAGGAAAACACAGGTTAAAAAACGTCAGGTTTGCAGACTGTTTATGCACGTTTTGAGCGTTTGCGTTCAGAAGCATTTTTTAATGATAAGCACAGAAGAACCTCCCAAATGCCCAGAATGCACTGGAAAATGGTAAATTATTAACTATTTCAGACTGTTTGAGAGAAATAGAGAGAGTAGAAGCAGAGAGAGCAGTATTTGTTGAGATTAGCTGTCTTTTTTTTTTTGTGGTGTTTGGATGTGTTCCAGCTCATTTCTGTACAGAAATTATTGCAGCCGTATCTAACATATTTTTTTTTCATGCAAAACCTCAAAGTACGGTGTACCAGATCCATTTGAGTACCGGGAAAACGCTCTGCATGCATTTTTCATGATGAAAACAGGTTCTGGACAGCATCTGGAAATGGAAGAGTTAAAAAATGTCCAAACGCAAACGCTTATAAACGCGGTTAGCCGTTTTTACACGTGTTTACAAGCATTTGACATTTGAAACGCTGATAAAATCTATTCTTGAACGCAAGTTTGGTGCTTTCAAAAAAATGACTGTAAACTCAACTGCTGTAAACGAAGATGTGTACATGGACACATAGGAGAATATTAGGGAGAGTTCAGGGGCTGCTGAAAATGAACGCAGAAAAGCTCCTAAACGTGAGTTTATCAGCTGCAGTGTACATGGAGCCTAAATTGATGGCGCTAAATAAGTACCTGAAATAAATACATTTATTTCATAAACAGCAATATAAATTTGGCAGAGGTTCCCCCTAGTCAAAAATGTGTTCTGTATTGCTATTCATATGTCCTCCAGATAGATTTCCCTGGCCATGTCTGATTGGCTGTTCCTTACTGCTACAAATCGCTAATTTCAGCGATTTACAGCAGGTTGTAGCTAGAGACATAATGACTATATCATCTGCCAATTTGTTGCAGCTGCAGGTCATACTTTTTCTACATCATTATCTTAGGGCTTGCTCTTCTTTAGCAATTTGTAGCTCAGTCAGAGAGGTGAATGCAGAGTGATTATTGGTGTCAATCTCGGCGCCTATATGAACACTGCCCAAACTGAGTCACTAAGAAACATAGCTACAAATCATTGCAAAAGTAGCAAGGTAACAATTCTACAGAAAATAACTGTGATTCCCTCAGCCAGAAATTGCTGAAATGAATAAGATTGATGTGAATAAATTGCCCCAACTCCATGTCCTAGTGACCTAATGACAAGAGACAAGAAGTCTGGAGAGGCCTCCCTGGTGGGGACACACATAGCACCAAACTGTCCCTGATTCGGAAACAAATTTTGAAGCCTGTAAAGAAAAAGTAGCTGTGAACAAGCATTTTTGAGTTTAACCAATCATAACGTATCTCTCTCTCTATATTTAGCTATGGACACAGAAGATAGTAAAAAACAGAGGTTCTGTCTCTCCCTCAGGATATCGTATGTACTCTCCAGCACCTCAGGATATGCACAGCCAAAAGGGAAGCCAAGGGTACCAGGACAGCAACAACCAAAGGAAATGCTTCAGGGGTGCAGCCCTCCTCAGACGGGGAAATCAGCCACTGGGTAGAGAGAAAACAGGTGGCGCACACACCTAGTGCATTATCCAAGGTTTATTGTAGGAGTGAAAGAACTTTTTTTTTAAGTTAGGTTAAGTTGTACAATGAAATTTGCACAATGCATTAATTTAACTTTCCTCAAAACCTTTTCTTTTTTTTCAGTATCCTGATGGAGAGAGAGAGAGAGAAAACAGGTGGCGCACACACCTAGTGCATTATCCAAGGTTTATTGTAGGAGTGAAAGAATAATAAAAAAACATACTCACAGACAAAGCATGTATCTAAAAAGCATAGAAAAATGACAATGGCCAACCTGTATGCACTTTAAATAACCCCCTCCAACCCCTCATCTTATAACAAGTAGAGGAGGTGGAGCTTTGCTCCCAAGGCATCTAGCCCTGGTTATTTACTACTTGACCTCCATACAGGTTGGTCATCAGCTCTGAGGAAAGGGATTTGTCCCCGAAACGCGTCAGCCATTTGACCGCACTGACAGTGAGAACACCTTGCCTGCCGTTGTGGCCATTGTCATTTTTCTATGCTTTTTAGATACATGCTTCGTCTGTGAGTATGTTTTTATTATTCTTTCACTCCTACAATAAACCTTGGATAATGCACTAGGTGTGTGCGCCACCTTTTTCTCTCTCTCTCCCTCAGGATACTGAAAAAAAAGAAAAAGTTTTGAGGAAAGTTAAGGTTCAAGTGAAATTAATGCATTGTGTAAATTTCATTGTACAACTTAACCTAACTTAAAAAAAAAATAAATCTTGTTATGTACTGTAGAGAAGGCAAAGTAGTTAAAGAGTACTTTATTAAAGTGGTTGTAAACCCTTAAATATACTCAGTAAAGTGACCAGGGGCGGACTGACAACTCATGGGGCCCCCGGGCAATAGGGGATCCTGCGGCCCCTGTGTCCTTGCCCACACCCAAAAGGGCTTATGAAAAAGACAATGAAAGGTACCAGGGGCATCTCATGGGGCCCCCTATTGACCCCGGGCCCTCGGGCAGTGCCCGAGTGCTCAAATGGTCAGTCCGCCCCTGAAAGTGACTGGCCTCAGAAGATACACAGACATGAAAAAAAATCATCCTAGATAAGTTGTACCTGTTTTATCTGCAGTATTCTCTTCTCTACATCCATTCAAAGTGCTGAATTTGTAAAGGGTAACTTTGAACGTCCATTCAAAGTGCTGATTTTGTAAAGGGTAACTCCACTTTTGCAGGAAAAATGTTCCATATATATATATATGTGTATATATTGTGACAGTGTGATGATCTGTCACAAGGTAAAAAGGATATTTTGCCCAGGATTCTCAACAAGGCAGGTTGAGGGGCTCCAGGGTGCTTGTTTAAGTTGGACAAAACTGTGTTTTCAGTCTCCTCGGTTCTTTCCAAAGCTCTGTTTGGGACCTGGAGCCTGGGGATTTCACAGTGATGTGGGTAGGAGGAAATCTCCAATCCTGGAACCAGGTTTTGGGAATGGCCAGGAGATTGATTGTGCAGGTGTGTGTGTGTCTCTTCCACAGGACCAGGACCAGGCTTCTGGGCTCCACCCTCCCGAGGAGTCCATGTGGGTGCAAGTGAGCAGACACAAGTGTGCATGGTGGCACAGTGTAGTCTGGCAGAGCAGTCAGAGGGCCCAAGCCTGTGGGCTGGAGAAGCAGGAATGCTGTGAAAGAGCACTAACCGAGGTACAGCGTTTGTATGTGATTGGTCAAGAGGACCAAGGCATAAAACCTGAGCAGTGGTGCTGCTAAAGAGAGCCAGGAGGCTGAATCTTTTTTTTTTTGCATTGATGTATGGACTTTTCTTGTATTCTTTAATAAAAGTGGGCCAACAAGCCTTTAAACCATCATTTCTGGCATGGACTCACTGGTAAGCGCTACCCTGAGCTATATAACCCCCAAATATCACTATATATATATATGTATATATATATACACACTATATTGCCAAATGTATTGGGGCGCTTGCCTTTAAATGCACCCTTTGCAGCTATAACAGGTTCAACTCTTCTGGGAAGGCTGTCCACAAAGTTTAGGAGGGTGTCTATTGGAAGGTTTGACCATTCTTCCAGAAGAGCATTTGTGAGGTCAGGCACTGATGTCGGATGAGAAGGCCTGGCTCGCAGTCTCCGTTCTAATTCATCCCAAAGGTGTTCTATCGGGTTGAGGTCAGGACTCTATGCAGGCCAGTCAAGTTCCTCCACCCCAAACTCGCTCATCCATGTCTTTATGGACCTTGCTTTGTGCACTGGTGTGCAGTCATGTTGGAACAAGAAGGGGCCATCCCCAAACTATTCCCACAAAGTTAGGAGCATAGAATTGTCTAAAATGTTTTGGTATGCTGATGCCTTAAGAGTTCCCTTCACTGGAACTAAGGGGCCAGGCCAAACCAAGAAAAACAACTCCACACCACCAAACTTTACACTTGGCACAATGAAGTCTGGCAAGTACCGTTCTCCTGGCAACCACCAAACTCAGACATGTCCATCAGATTTCCAGACAGAGAAGCATGATTCGTCTATCCAGAGAACATGTCTCCACTGCTCTAGAGTCCAGTGGCGGTGTGCTTTACACCACTGCATCTGACTCTTTGTATTGCACTTGGTGGTGATGTAAGGCTTGGATGCAGCTGCTCTGCCACAGAAACTAAGCAATATGATAGTGTGACAAGAACACCCCTATCTGAAAAAGAAGGTTTCTAGATGATCCAGGCGGAGTAATATGAATTCAAAGGAATTTTAACAATACTTTATTTGATCACATAGATCATAGGGAGGTTAAACATGAGCACGGTGTACATATGAAAAAAATAAAATCATGTTAAAAAACACTTAGCGTCTTCAATTTAGGGTCATCTTAGCCAACAGAGCACCATATAAGGCAGAGTTGTGTAATGATGAAATAGTTATCCTGGGTTTCCGTAGGTTTCCCGCTTTATATTTGAGTGAACCAAGTATTCAGTAGGTGTGTTCCCAATATATGTCAGGGACCTCCTGGAATGTAAAAGCTGGAACACAAAAAAATACATAGTATATGTATAGAAATATGGAAACCAAATCACATCCAAAATTCACCAGGCCTCCCTCCACAATAATCAATGGATACTACTGTTACCTTCTCATTAGTGAGACTATCATACCCGCTTCTCAAGTGTAGGGACTTCCTGGATAGCCACCCCAAATAAAACAAGGTCCACAGTACCAAATGATTCTGAGGATATATATAGAAAAAGATAATAAATGTATAGATCATGGGCATCAGGTGACCCCGAAAACAAAACACACACTCTGCC